TTTGCTCGCAGTTTTCGCCTTTGGTTCTAGTTCTTCCCCTTTCCCTGCCTTCTTCCCTCCCTCCCTTTGGGTTGCACTATTCACCTTGTTTTTGTTTTCTTTATTTTATTTGTTATTTTTATTCTATGTGTACGAGTGTTATGCCTGCACCTGTGTCATGTAATGCCTGTGGAGGACGGGAAAGGGCGTTGGACCCCCCCCCCCCCCCCCAGAATTTAAACTACAGCTGCCATGTGGGTGCTGGGAATCAGACCCGGTCCTCTGCAAGAGCAGACAGTGCTCTCAACCATGGAGCCATCTCTCCAGTCCCTCACCTTATTTTTGTGACACAGTCTCTCTCTGAGACCTGGGACTTGCCCAATAGACTATGCCGGCTGGTCACTCCCCCCAGGAGCCTGACTCCTGTCTCCACCTTCCCAATGCTGGTATTACAAACCCGTACCTCCACGCCCTCATGCTTGTGTAGGAAGTGCATTACTGGCTGACCTATCTTCCCAGCCCTCTATTCTACTTCTTTGTGTTAATTTTGGCCTTTGCTTTTCTTTACAGCCTAGAAACATTTGAGTATGTCCTAGGTTAAAGGCAAGGCTTTGAAAAGGGGTGTGTTTCTTTCAGGTACATTTCCTGTTTCATCTGTCACTTAAACATATTGTGTTATTCAAGTAACACAAGGCAATTGAAAAATATTAAAATATCGAAGCTGAGCATGGTGGTTCATGCCTGTAATCTCAGCACTGGAGAGGCTAAGACAGGAGGATTGCTCAGGACCAGTCTGGGCTATATAGGACGATCCTTACACAAAAATATAAAGGAAAGAAATAGAGAGGTGGAGAGGGAGGAGGGGAGGGAGGGGAGGGAGGAAGGGGGAGGAAGAAGAGGAAAAGAAGAATTGAAGGAGGAGGAAGAAGGGCGGGAAAGAGGGAGGGAAACAGAAATAAACAACCCACTATGCCCTACCTACAGTGACTACTGAAGTCTTCTGGTCTAATTTCTCCCAGTTTCTTTTTTGGTGCTAGGAATGAGATTTTATTAATCTACGGAAGTTTCCAGGTCTCTGAGTCAAAGTTAGCTACTCTTTGTAAAGAGGACATAATACTTGGGTTGCCCAATTCTTCCCTTATTCAGGCCTATAAGGTAATTTTTGTCTTTCTCAGATTAAGTTTAGGGGGAGCATGATGCAGTGTGCCTTTAATTCATCCACTTTGGACGTGGAGGCAGGAGGATCAGGAATTCAAGTTCATCCTCAGCTACATAGTATGTTCAAGGCTAACCTGGGCTACATAAAACCCTGTCTCAAAACAAACAAACAAACAAATCTGGGGTTGTATCAGGAGATAAGGTGTAGTCTATATAAGATAAAATAGTAATAAAGCTCAGAGAGGCCAAGTCATCCAGACAGTATTACCTTCCAGTATGTTCTCAGGCTGGACAGGTCTCAGCATTTTCAAGGATTTTGATTTCAAGGTTATTATGGGGAATATCACTGGCAGGGATGAACTCATCAAAGACAGATGAGGCAGAAGTACAGTTCATTAGATACACTGTTGTGTGCTCAGAGAGGGCAACACAGTGGAGAGAAACCGTCTCACAGAGGCATTCTGGGGGGCTGCTTTGGTAGGGGATTTCTATGACAATAGTCAGGCAGTGTTTCACTGTCATGATGTCCTGGAATAGTTCCAGTTGGGGTTCACTGCAGTTAGTAGCAGTAGTCTGGCCTTGAGGCAGAGATGGTCTTGCCCTGAGTCAGAAGTGGCTCAGCATGACCACTGTCCTAAATTAGAGTCTGGATTTTGCAGCTGGAGCTTGTTATGAATCAGTCTTTCTGAGAAGATAATGGTCCTGCTTGGGGGCAGAAGAGGCAAGCAAAGTCACCTTGTTTTGAGGCTAAAATGGCCTAGCATAGCTATTGGTCCTAGAACAGCATCCACAGGTATGACATGCTATATTCAAATTATATTACACTTTTCTTACCATTTGTTTTATTGAGACACGATCTCACTGTGTAGCCCTGTCTGGCCTGGAATTCACTATGTAGACCAGGCTGGCCTCCAACCACAGAGATCCACCTGCCTCAGGCTCCTGAGTGCTGGGATTAAAGGGGTGTGTACCACGTCTCGAAATTCTCTGCTTTAAAAAAATATTTATTATTTTTATTTCTTTGTGTGTGTGAGTGTTATGCCTGCATGTAGGTAGGTGCACTCGTGTGAAATGCCTACAGAGGTCAGAAGAGGGCATCGGATTCCCTAGAACTGGAGTTACAGATAGTTGTTAGCTGCCATGTGGGTACTGGGAATTGAACCCAGATCCTCTTCAGAAACAGCCAGTGCTCTTAGCCACTGAGCCATTACTCCAGCCCCAAGTTTTTTACTTTTTTGGTAGAAATTTTATGTTGTTCAAAGCACTTTCACATTGATTATATCCCTTCAGTGAGTAAAGCGTAAGAAACTTTAACTTTTTACTTAAAAAACTTAACATGTTTCCATAGACAGAGTTCAAATTTAAAGAGATTTTTATTTGGGTATAGTCGTGTATGTCTGTAATCCCAGTCCTTAGGAGGCTGAGGCAGCAGGATTGTGCATTCAAGGCCATCCTGGGTAACATAGTAACAGTCTGTCTCCAAAAGAGGAGAGGAGGGATATAAAATAATTCATGAATATAAAATATGAATAGAGCTGTGTTATCATCTCCCTGTCAAAGAAGGTGACACAGGCCTCACCTGGTCTTGTCTTCCCCCATCACTTAAGTCCAGTTAGTCATGTTGATGCTCAAAGAACAGTGAAACACACTGGCTCCCTCTGTCTTTGCTAAGGAGGATCCTCATTGGCCTATAAGGTGAACAGTAACTCCTTGTACCTACCTACCTACCACAAATGTCATGATGGGGTGGGGTTGGATGAGGTAGAAGACTACAGTGCTGGGTCCTTTACATTTATGAGATACTTAGTCTGAATTTCTTCTTCATAGAGTGTTCCCCATATTATCCAGGGTCAGTGATAGCTAGTGTGTGATGTGGATTTAGAGGCTATGAATTGGGAAATCTGGGTTGAGAACCCATATCAATGATGTTTGGGGTCCCTGGAAAGATTGAAGGACTCTCTGTGTCAGGAGTCATAAACTCCAATGTTTCTGTGGGACAGGAGGATTAGGTTATGTAAGAGCAATTTTTTTATTATTTTTTATTTTATTTTATGTGTATGCGTGTATTGCCTGTGTGTAGGTAAGTGCACCTGTGTCATGCAATGCCTGCGGAGGACAGGAGAGGCTGTCGGATCCCCTGGGACTGGAGTTACAGACAGTTGTTAGCTTCCATGTGGGTGCTAGGATTCGAACCTGGGTCTTCTTCAAGAACAGCCAGTGTTCTTAACTGCTGAGCCATCTCTCCAGCCTCAATTTGTGATATTCTTAAACTCCAAAATCTTGCCTTAAACATCCCTGAAGTCGTTCTCTGACTTTGAAATTACTTCTCACACCTTTCCAGAAAAGGAAGAACACGTTCTGCTACTGGGCATGAAGCACACACAAAAGTCACTCTGGTCTTGGAAACAGGGGTGGCTGCTTGCCTGTGCTGTGTAGACTTGACTGCTTCCTCTTCTTTCGTTGAATTACAGTAGCTGTAGCTTTGGAGGGAACTGAAGTAGCTTCTGGAGAGCACAGACATTAAGGGAGCTGTCTCTTGCCTGAGTTGGGGACCACTAAGCCACATTACTTCCTCTCTGGGTCTTATTTTTCATGTCTGTAAAATGGCAGTGATCAGATTCCCTCACAGCTGTGTCATTAAGACCTAACTTGTAATATGTCTTCTGCAAGCTTTGGCTTTATCATTCTCCAGGGGGCAATTTGGATCAGTTAATAGGAAAACAATGATTAGAGGCCGTGTGGCCTGGGCCTCTATTTTAAGGAAGCACTAGGGAATAGTAGAGACTGGAGCTCCATGGACAGCCTCTCTTCAATCTCCATGAGAAGGCATTCCAACAGGTTGTTGGCAAAATGGAAAGTGGTCTAGTGTGCTTGGATGATCTTATTCTAGAAGAACCAAGATATCTTGTGTTTTATGGCATTTTTAACTGTCCAAATACAAATGTGACCATAGATAGGATCTTGCTCGTGAAGGTCATTTTGTGACCTCTAGACTACATTCATCCATCATGAATGGATTAATTTATTCATCACTTCTACGAGGATTGAAATACACACGTAGAGCTAAAACAATAACAACAAAAATATACCTGCTGTGTGTTAGTGTCCTGGATGTATGAAAGCTAAATATACCACTTTCAAATTGTGGAACTCTAGTAAGATAGAATTGGAAGTATGGTGGATGTCAGACTGCTTGGGGTGATTTTTAGCCCCACAATTTCCATTATTGTTATTATTATTAATCATCATCCTCATCATTTCTTTTTCTCTCTTGTCTTTTCCTTTGGTTTGAGAGAGTCTCTCTTGTCTTTTCCTTTGGTTTGAGAGAGTCTCACCATTTAGCTGAGGCTAGTTTTGAATTCATGGTCTTTTAGCCTCAGCTCTTCAAGTACTACGATTGTAGGAGCAAGCTACCATGCCTGGCCATTATAGCTCCATTATTTTCTAACCACTGAAATTAAAATTATTTTCTTTCTTTTCTAGAAAATTTTTTTGTTATTTTAATGTATAGGAGTGTATTGATTGCATGTGTGTAAGTGCACCCATGTTGTGCAGTGCCCGTGGAGGTCAGATGATGGCATCAGATTCCTCTGGAACTGGAGTCACTGACAGTTGTTAGCTGACGTGTGGGTGCTGGGAACTGAACCCAGGTGCTCTTAAGAGTAGCTGATGCTATTAACCGCTGTGCCATCTCTCCAGCCCTGTGACTAACTTTCTTTATTTGAGAAATGAATCATAAGGTTTGGAGGATGTAAAGTTCCAGTTTTGATGAAGCGCTTATAAGTATTCAGTAATTGCTTTCCCGCTTCCTTCCCCTGCCAGAGGTACTGCTGAACCAGTCCCTGTTTATTTTCACATTCCAGGTTTCTGAGCCCCTTCAACATGATCCTTGGAGGAATTGTGGTGGTGCTGGTGTTCACGGGGTTCGTGTGGGCAGCCCACAATAAAGACATCCTCCGCCGGATGAAGAAGCAGTACCCCACGACGTTTGTGATGGTGGTCATGTTGGCCAGCTACTTTCTCATATCCATGTTTGGGGGAGTCATGGTCTTTGTGTTTGGCATCACTTTTCCTTTGTTGTGTAAGTGAACCTGTTTTCTTTTTCTTACTTACATCATGAAAAAAATGTAGGCACAGTTGGCTAAGGAATTACATAACCCGTTTCTCTTGTGTATTGGTATACTTACTGCAGTATCAGACTTTTCTAAAACAGAAGATCAAGGCCTAATAGTTGCTGATTTCCACAAATATGTATAGACACTTGTCGTGTGTCTGGCAGTCTTACAGAGATGTACAATAAACAAATAACAAACCCTGAGTCATGTGGCAGGAGCTGACACAGCCTGCATTGTGCTCTGGATTTATCAAGCTTCCCAGTCTGTTCCCAGTTCTTGAGTACCGTTTGTATTATCCTGCTGCAGGGATGAGTGTGCGTATGTCACCTGCAAGCAAACTGTTTTCTCTGCTTATCTTGGAAGATCCCAATTAGTGCCCAAAGATGATTAAGTCTAAAAGAGTAATTAAACCAGAATATAAAGACCAAATACTCTGCTCTAGATGCTTTCTAAATTATATAGACCATCTTTTCTTTTTTGTTCTTTCGTTTTTTTGTTTTGTTTTCTTTTGTTTGAGACAGGGTCTCCCTGTAGCCCTAGCTGACCTGGAACTTGTATGTAAACCAGGTTGGCCTTGATCTCACAGAGCTCTACCTGCTTCTGCCTGCCGAGTGCTGGGATTAAAGACATGTGCCACCACACCCAGCTAGATCTTATTTTATAAGACCTCAAACACTTGAAAATAATAGATAAAATTTCAGTCTCATTAGCAGAAATCTGATTGAAATTCTAATGTATTCAGTGACAGAAGAACATCTCTTTAAATTAGAAAAGATTTCACCTTTGAATCTATTTTATTAAATAAAATCATTTGCTTATTTGGGAACTTATTAAACTGAACCCAGCATATTTATGAATGAATGCTACACCTTGTTTCACAAAACATTTGAATCAGTAAATTTGAACTTTGTGAAAATTTCTTCAGGTTTTCCTGATATTGGAAGCTAGTTTTTGAATGATTCTATTTAAATAAATACACTGCTTGTTAATTATAATCCCTTTCTATCTTAGAGCCTGAGACAGGCCAACATAATAAAATATATCTGATGTCAAGAGGCTCCATTTTCTGTTCCCAGAGCTACTGGAAACCGACATGTGGTTTAATCTCATCATCCTAAGTGATTCTCACACTTTGATAACTCTGTCTCTCAAGTGCTAGGATTACAGACATGATGCTACCCCTACCTGGTTTTTATGTGGGTCCTGGAGACCCAAACTCTAGTCCTCATGCTATGCCACAAGCTTTTTACCCATTGAGCCATCTCCTAGTCTTATTTTTAACTTTAAATTACATTTATTTGTTTATTATTTATTTATTTATTATGTATGTGAGACAGAGAGTGAGAGAGAGAGAGAGACAGAGACAGAGAGAGAAAGACAGAGAGAGAGAGAGAGAGAGACAATGCCACGGCACATGTGTGGTGGTCAGAGGATGACTTACGGAAGCTAGTTCCAGTTCTTTCCTTCAACCATGTGTTTCCTGGGATCCAACTGAAGTAACCAGGCCTGGAGGTACTGCTGAGCCACCTCACCAGCTCCCCAGTCTAAGCAGGTACTTGCATGGACATAGAAAGCCACTTCTGTAGATCACATGGAGTGTCTGTTTAAAATACAGATCCCCCTGGGCTGTCCCTTTATGGTCTGGGTCCAGGAGGTCCAGGAGCAGGACCATGGCATCTGTTTCTTAGTAAACAAACTGAGGTCATTCATAATAATACTTTGGAAAGCTGCCTCTTTGAAGGCACCTTTAAAAGTGGGCTTCACTAGCCCTAGAAAGATGGCTCAGCAGCATTAAGTTGCTCTTGAAGAGGACCCAGGTTGGGTTCCCAGCACCCACAAGGCTGCTAACAACTGTCCTATAACTCCAGTTCTGGGGAATCTGACTCCTACAACTGGCCTCTGCAGGCATTGCATGACACAGATGCAGTTACATACATGTAGGCAAAACACTCATACACATAAAATAAAAATAAATAAATAAAAGAAGAAGCGAGCTTTACTTGCATGTTGCATTAGGGAACAAAATACATTAAAACCCTGAATGACCAAGAGTTCCTTTCTGGTAAACCTTGGGTAAGGTAAGTGGATTCCTGTTTAGGTTGCAATTATGTTGATTGATTTTGAGTGTCATGGTATTTAAATAACATTTGCCAGCCAGGTGTGGTGCATGCTTTTAGTCCCAGCACTCAGCAGGCAGAGACAGGTGGATCTCTGTGAGTTCAAGGCCAGCCTGGTCTACATAGTGAGTTCCAGGCCATCTGGGGCTACAGAGAGACCTTGTTTCAAAAAGACCGAAAAAAAAAAAAAAACAGCATTTGCCAAAATGAGGATGATAGGAAGAAAAAAATATGGCTGCCAGATCATAGGTCTTCCTGGTGAGAACCATGTTTTCTTCCACACACAAAGCAATCTGTGTGTAGCCTTATATAAAGTCCATGTAGTCATTTGAGGACCTGGATCAATAAGACAAGCAGTCCTGACTGCATCTAACAGGGTTTACTATACATATGAAGTACCAGAGGGAACGTGATGTTGATGTGAACAAGGGAGTTCTTAGCCTGGAGAAGTGGCTCCAGTTAAGAGCCATAACTGCCCTCGCAGAAGACTTGAGTTTGGTTCCCAGCACCCACATTCAGTGGCTCACAACTTGTAACTCCAGCTCTAGGGAGACCAATGCTTCTGGCCTCTATGGGCACCTGCACTCATGTGCACATACTCCCCCATAAATAAAAACAATAAAAATATTTTAAAGGAAGAATTCTTGCTTTGGTGCTAACTATGAGTCACTTCTTTGCAGTGATGTTTATCCATGCATCTTTGAGACTTCGGAACCTCAAGAACAAGCTGGAGAATAAAATGGAGGGAATAGGTTTGAAGAGAACACCCATGGGCATTATCCTGGATGCCTTGGAACAGCAGGAAGAGAGCATCACCAAACTCACTGACTATATCAGCAAAGTGAAGGAGTAAACACAGCAGATCTGGTGTCAGGGGCACAGCAGGAACTGAGCTGCACTTTGCCCTTGTTCAAACCTATTTCCCGTTTGTGTTCTTTAAATAGGAGGTGCACGTTTCGCCACCCAACTATCTAAGGCAGCATGCATGTTCAGGCCCACCTATTAAGATCTCTGATATGACCCAAGGAAGGCCTCAGAAACTGCAACAATAAACCCATTCTCCTATTGTGTCTGAAATTCCCAGTGTGTTATGAAAGAGAATTATAGATTCTTCAGCAACAATACTACAATCTTGTAGGGGAAAAAAAATCATTGTAGAATCAGGAGACAATATTGAATAAATGAAAATCAGCCAAAGTAGATGATATCATGTGTCAGCCTCTTTCTAATTCTGTCTGACACCCCCTCTGAAATTCCCTGCCTGTAATGTGTGGGGTAAAAGTTAGTTTAGTGGTATTACTATTATTTTTCAAACAGAGGTGATCTCTGTCACTTTGCCATCTGTTTGACATGCAGTGGGAACTAGACAAGCCAGTTGTTTGTATTTTGTTTACAAATATGAAGATAGCTGTTTAGGACAATATTTTGTTAAATTTTTGTAAATTTTTAAAAGGATAGTAATGTGTTTTCACCAACAGGTGTTTGTTGCAAACTAAATGTCATCTTCCTTAGGGAGGTTATGACTATATAATCTCTGTTACTCTTGACTTGTTAAAAAATACAAAATAAAATAAAAATAAAACCAAATGAGTTCTGCTTATATTGTGCATTTTTTTGTCGCTACAATAATAAAAAACCGCCCTATATAACATTTATTAAAAGATTTTATTCATTTTTATTTCATGTGTATGAGTATTTTGCCTGTATGTATGTAAGTACATCATGTGCATCTCTGGTGCCTGTGGAGACCAGAAGAGGGTGTCGGATCCCCTAAAACTGGAGCTAAAAGACGGTTGTTAGCTGCCTTGTTGTACCCACAAGACAGCTAGGAACTGAACCCAAGTCCCCTGGAAGAGCAGTAAGTGCTCCTAATCACTGAGGCATCTGTCTTCAGTTCCTCAGTATAATGCTTTGCATTTGTTTTTCATTGCTTAGTTTCTATCTAGACTAGAGAATTTATAAAGAAGGAAATGAGTATTTTGTTATTCTTTGAGGCACAAAGGGAACAATAATAATTGATCTTTGGGAATTTCAATAGCTTCTCTAGGTAACCAAGACAAAAGACTAAACATGGGAGCAATCACCAGCTTCTGTAATTCACAGAATTTCAGATGGCAATTGTAGCAGCAACAGGTTTGCATAGATAGACATTAGAACCAGTGGTCAATTCTGGAAGGATCATGCCTTTCTTTTCCTGATGCTGTGATACAATACTCTGACAAAAGCAACTTACAGGAGAAGGGGTTTATTCTGGCTCACAGTTCAAGGTACAGTCCATCGCAGCAGGGGAGTCAAAGCAGCAGGACTTGAGGCAGCTGGTCACATGGTATCCACAGTCAGGAAACAAATGCATGCCACTGCTCAGCTCCCTTTCTCCAACTCCAGTAACCCACCCAGGGAATGGTGCCACTCACAGTCCCGCATGATAATCCCCCATAGGCATGCTCAAAGGTCCATTTCCCAGGTGATTCTAGATTCTGTCAAGTTGACAATTAGTATTCTCCATCACAAATAATAACAGAAGAACATGACATATAAATGTATATGCATTTTATGTTTAAAATTTTAATTTATTTATTGTGTGCATGTTTGTATGTGTGGATATATGTGGATGCATGTGTACCATGGTTTGCATGTGGAGGTCAGAGGACAAAATATGGTAGTCAGTTCTCTCTTCCCACCATGTGAGTACCAGGGATTGAACTCAGGTTGTCAGACTTGGAGGCAGGTACTCTTACCTGCTGAGCCATCTCTCGGGTCCTAATATTGTATTTTAAAACAAGTTAAAATCTGAAATTAAGATTTCCTGGGTAGGGAAACTGGATAGAAAGAGAGTAATGAGAACTGACTCCCTTGACTTTCTATTGTTTCTATATGTATGTATATGGGGGTGTGGGTACACATGTATGTGTGTGGGAGTGTGGAGGTACACATGTATGTGGGGTGTGTGAATGCACAGGTATGTATGTGAGGGTGGGGTACACATGCATGTGGGGGGTGTAGATGCACATGTCTATGGGGACATGGGGGTGCATATTATGTGGATGTGTGTGTGCACATGTATGTGTGTGGGGGTGGGGGTGAACATGTATGGTGGAGGCCAGATGATACCCTTGGCTGTTATCCTCAGAAATACTGTTCACCTTCTTTGAGACAGGGTCTCTCAGTGGTCTAGAACTCACAAATTAGGCTAGACTGGCTGGTCAACAAGCCCCCAAAATCCTTCTGTATCTGTTGCCCCAGTACTGAGAATACAAGCATGTGCTACTACATCTAGTATTTTACAACCACATCCAGTATTTTACATGGGTTCTGTGGATCTAACTCAGGCCCTTGTACTTACTTATAAGGCAAACACTTTACTGACTGAGCCATCTCTCCTTCCCCTGTTTCCCTTCTCTTAACAAAACTTGTGTATCGAGGTGGGAAGTCATGAGACTGGACCATCTTCTCTTTGAGTATAGGATTCGGATCCTCTTTCAGAACCATTAGTATTCTTTGCATTTCCTGACTTTATTAATGCTGTGGCTGAACAGGAAAGTGCATAAAGCTTTCTGAAACTTTACTAGTACATCTGATACTTTCAAAATATGTTTAGAACACATTGTCCTGTCAGAGTTTTGTCTCTTAGATGTAGAACATGCTAGATACTCTGAAAGTTGTGTTTATTTTAGTCCCTTCTCCTCCCCCTTTCTTTCCCCCTCCTTCTCCTTTATTACTGGGGATCAAAGCAAGGGCCTTACAAGTTGTCCTAATTTGCTTCTCTGTTGCTGTGATAAAATACTGACCAAGCTGCCTGGAGGGCTGGGTCAGTGGTTGCTTTTGTAGAGGACCTGGGTTTGGTTCCCAGCACCCGCATGGCACTAACAACCTTCTGTAACTCCAGTTCCAGGAGATCAGATACCCTCTGGCCTCTGCAACTTTGCATACATGTGGTGAACTAATATACATGCAGACAAAACACTCATACGCATAAAATAAAAATAAATAAGTAAACAACAACAACAAAACACTGACCAAAAGCAACCTAGGGGAAGAACAGGTTTATTTGACGTAGAGGTTATAAGCCATCATCAAGAGAAGCCAAGGCGGGAAATCAAGGCAGAAACCGAAGCAGAGGAACTCTGCTCACTGGCTTGTTTCCTGCAGCTTACTCAGCTACCATTTTTGTATACAGTTCAGGCACACATAGCTAGGGCTGGCACTGCTCACAGTGGGCTGGGTCTTCCTACATCAATCAGCATTAAGAAAATGCCTCACAGTTATGGCCACAGTCAATCTGATCTGGGAAATTCTTCAACTGAGGTTCCCTCTTCCCAGGTAACTCTGTGTCGAGTTGATAGTTGAAGCCAACCAAGACACACGTGCTACATAAGCGCTCTCTCACGGATCCACATCCCCTATCTTCTTTTTGCTTTTTATTTTGAGATAGGGTTTTACTAATTTGCCCAGGCTGGACTTGGATTTTTGATCCTCCTGCTTCAGCCTCCCAAGTAGCTGGAATTACAGGCCTGCTCCACTAGGCCCAACTTACAGCCCATTCTTCATAGCCTGCTTATATGCTTACATTAAAGGAGGAGAGCAAAGGCAAGATGGTTCAGCGAGTAAGGGTACTTGCCTTCCATTGATGGAAGCCTGAGAATGGTAGCTCAATTCCTGGAATCCACATAAAGGTGGAAGGAAAGAACTGACTCTACACACATCTCTCTCTCTGTCGCTCTCTCTGTCTTCACACACACACACACACACACACACACACACACACACACACACACACACACTTTTTTCCAAGAGAAAACAGGGGCTGGGCAGATGGTGTTAGTGGTTAAGAACACTGGCTGATATTGTAGAGAACCCAGGTTTGGTTCCTATTACCCATATGGTGGCTAGCAACCCTCTGTAAGTCCAATGCCAGGGGATCTGGTACCTTCTTCTGACTTCCATGGGCACTGCACACACAGGTATACTTGCAGGCAAAACACTCATGCACACAAATAAAAAATAAATAAAAATGAGAAAACAAAGCTATTAGCTGTTGGCTATTTTTAAATTACTTAGTTGAAAACTGCAACTATTTAAAATTGGCAGTCTTCATACCCTGTCTTAAAAAATCACATTTAAAATCCTACATTTTCATAGTTTGTTCTTCCAGTTAATCTGCTGTGTGTGTGTTCCTTTAGAAACATTTTCTCTGGGCCTACTTTGCCTGCTGTACATCATTTATGACTCGACAAAAGGGGAAAGGAGGAAGGTGCCCGTAATTCCCTCGGGTAAAGGAAACAAAAAGCCACCAAAACTTGACTTAATTCCTGTGTTTACATCACTTCAAAGATGCTCAACCATTTTTTGAGATTTTATTACAATATCTCAGATTCTGTGCCCCTCCTAACTAGAATGGATAACTAAGAGCCATAGGAATTTGGAAGGAGTAGGGATAGGGGATGGAGATGCTGGGCATGTTTCTGTGGAGGAGATGGTACCTGCCATGAAGCTTAGTGATTGGACAAGGCCTTGATAGATAGAGGGAACTCTGGAGTTGTTCTAGGGAAGAGCCAGAGAGGGCAGACACATGGGATTTATAGAAAGCTGCTCTATCAAGGGACATATAAAAGGCTTGTGGGGGAGAGCATGGATAAGCACACTGGGGCCAGGCGATGGATCTTGTTGAAGTAGAGGGTGAAGAGTTTTATCCTTCAGAGGGCTTTTGAGGAGATCAAGATCAAACTAGACTCAAAGATTAAATTTTAATGTGTGTGTGCGTGTGTATAAAATACAAAATATTGTCTATATATATTTATAGTCTCTCTCTGTGTGTGTGTATGTGTGTGTGTGTGTGTGTGTGTGTGTGTGTGTGTGTGTGTGTCTTTTACCTATAAAACAACCTGCTCTCTGTAGCTGTTCCTATATATAGAAATGTTGCCAGGAAGGTTTTGTATATACAAAGAGTTTACTTTTTCTAGTGACTGTTTCTGGCGTTGCTTTTGGTGACATCCTGTGGCTTAGGTGTTTTGCTTCTGACAGATACCACATCAGAAGACTACTCCAGAATTCCAGGGGAGTCATCAAGGGAGCAAGCCAGGCAGAGTTGGTGAGCTGGTTAATCTTCGTTGTTACCTTGACTGGATTTAGAATCACCTAGGAGACACACCTTTAGTCATGTCTTGAGGAGTCTTCCAAAGAGGTTTAACTGAGGAGAGAAGCCTCACACTGAATGTGGGTGGCACCTTCCCACAGGCTGTGGTCCCAGACTGAACAACAAAGGAGGAAACCCTGAGTACTAGTATTCATCTTTCTCTGACTGTGGATACAATGTGACCATGCTGCCAAGCCTCCGCCTCCATGATGGACTATATACCCTCAAATGATGAGCTAAAGTGAACCCTTCCTTTCTTATGTTGTTTCTGTCTGGCATTTTGTTACAGCAATGAGAAAAGTAACCAATAACAGTTAGACATGAAATCCCAAGATTCTGCAGAGAAGAAATAGACAATCCATTTCAAAGCCTCAGAGGGGCCAGGAGGTCACTTCACCTTTCATATTGGCAGAGTTCGAAACGTGATTCATTCCTTTAAGACACCGCATAGTAAATGACAACAGAGGAGATGGAAAGAGGGAAAAAAATGGGAGTAAAATAAATAATCAACACATCTGTCCTATTTATTATTTACCAGAAGAAAGCAACAGTAAGGTGAGTATTTACAAAAAAAATTAGCTTTTGTTTCTGGAAATATCACTTTATAATTTTCATCCAAGTCACTTAGACTGCCGGAACTGGAAAATGTTGCCTGTGGACATTAATTTTTATCTCCTTCTCCTTCCTCTTCTGATGCGTTTTGTCATGGCCCAAGCATTTTGCCTTGCACAATTGCCCAGCTCAGATGGAGTCCTGTTCCCAGTTCTGCCACCTGTGCTGTCAGTGAAACAGCCTCCCAGCTGGGATCCAAGAATCATGGCTTCTTGTCCTTCTAGATGGTTCTGTTGCCTCTTATGCCAGTTCTTTTGGCAGTTGCACCTGTGATTTAAGCATTTGGAGAAAATAACAGAAAATGAACCCTGGAAATTTAAGAGCTTTACAGTCCAAATCATAAAATGTACATGTCTCAATGGATGCAGAAAGCATTTGAAATTTTGACCATAGAACCCTCCAAAAAACATGATAAAGGAAGTCAACCACAGTCATTGCTATTGGTCATTTACCAATGCCACAGCCTATTCTGAGGTCCATGAGCACATGGCAAAGCAGATCACAGAGACAAGAGACACTCAAAGCTTGGCACCTGTGGTTACTAGTTGGTTGATGCTGAGTAACCTTTTCTTAGGTATAAAATGACAGTATGAGTGTCCAATCCACAGAGGTAAAGAGTAAGTTAAATAATAGAGTAAGTTAAATAATAATAATAATAATAATAATATTAATAGAGTAAGTTAAATAATATTAGTGAGTAGTAAAGGTGAACACTGGTTTTCCAAAACATTATCTCACTATATCCCACAAGAGCCTTATAAAGAGAATAGCTCTGAGAAAACAGTGACTTTGGTGAGGTCACACAGTTAGAAAGTGGGGCATGGTGGCACACACCTTTAATCTCAGCACTCGGGAGGCAGAGGTAGGTGGATCTCTGTGAGTTCGAGGCCAGCCTGGTCTCCATAGCAAATCCAGGCCAGCTTTGGCTATGGGACTCAAAAAGACCAAAAAGTGCTGCAACGGATCAGTTTGATTTCAATCACTATTAATACATAACGCCTATAGAAATACCATCCCAAGAATAAACGTTCTTTATTCTTTATAAATCAGGGCTGAGAAGATAGCTCAATTAGCAAAGAGCTTGCCACACAAGCATGAGTTAGATCTTCACAACCCACATAAGAAAAAGCCAGGTGTGGTGGCACGTGGTTGAAATCTCAGCACTGAGCACTGG